TAATGGATATGCTGGTTTTGCCAGCCTTGTCCCCAAGCACTTTGATTTGAGGCTGTGGTTTTGCAGTGTGTTAAGATTAGGACCTGCTTGTATAGAGCATTTGCACTCATTCCCCAGGACCAACTCAACAAAAGCCATGGCGGCCATGTTGGTGTTCCAGACAAGAGTCTAATTAAAATTATTTTGAATTGGAACACCAACATGGCGGCTGTGACGTCATGTGCAAATGCTCTATATCAGTGTGATGTTAATGCTAATACATGGATTCTAGCATGTTGTTGTATAATAATTGTTGTATAAAATGGGATGTTTTTGTTTGCATTTTGATGATGGTGGTCATGTATGCAGGTATAGACTTAGTAAAACATTGTTCAATGAAGTGTTATAAAATATATGAATAACAAATTTGTTGTGATTGTATATGCTTTATAAACAGCACAAGTGTAGTGGGTTTACAGTGTTTTAACAGTTTTTCTACATAACTCACAGCAGCATTCATAGAACTTCCATCCACACCAGCCCAGTTTGTGTTTATAGGGAGAAAGTTTTATCAGATTGGGAACCAGGTCAGCCTGGCAGTTCAAATACATATGCAAAGTAGTTCATACCATAACATAATTAATACACTGTGTGAAACTGCTGACATGGGTGTCCTGCTTCTAAATATCGGCTGGCCTGGGTGGGGTAAAATTTACACAGAACTATTATTTTCAACATTGACTTGGTGAATGCCCAGGTATAATGCTGTACACTATTTGTGCGAGACACTATCTGTATTATTACATCCGTAGGTAAGGCATTTTGCAGCAATGTGGACTACAGTATACATGTCATATATTTCAGGTGCTATTTAAGCTACAAATGGTATGGGTAACTTGGTGGAAATGGCAAAAATTTTAACACATCTAAAATTAACCAAGGAAAAGTTTACTGATATGTGTATTGCAGCTGGTTGTGACTACATAGAAAATATCCGAGGTATTGGCATAAATAAGGCTAAGAAAATTGCTTGTGAGAACAAAAATTATTTAAACGTGTTCCAGTCATTGCCATTTGCTCCAACTGACTACAAGAAACGGTTCCAACAAGCACAAATGGTTTTTCACCACCAGACAGTCATTGATCCTGTCAAATATGAAACAGTCCCATTAAGTCTGTTCTTCGGTTGTCCAACAGTCTGCCATTGTGTATTGTGTCTTGCTCATTTTGACACAATTATTTTTTCCATTTGAAATTTTTTTTTGCTTCTCTTTTGCGTTTATTATTTCGTTGCCGCTTTGTTTTTTGTTTGCCTGGCGTATGGGACTCTGGGATGCACGAACGCTTCCCCAAAATAGCGGGAGAACATGAACTCTGGACAAGAAGACCTGAAATTAGCAAAGGAAATATCATGAGATAAAAGACCAAAAAATATACAATATTGAGGGGCGCTAAGGGGCGCTATTAAATATGGTCACAAATAATGGTCATAGATTATGCCAATTGCAATTTTAAATGTGATGTGTGAACGGTTAAGCTGTGACATGTAAAAGTAAATGGACCAGTGTATTTGGGAAAAATACACGAGTTTACAATCAAATGATATTTTTTATCGAATTCCAAAAATTATCGATTTGAAAAGTAACACGGCATAACAATATTACATGTAACTTCCTTTTTAATAAAAAACAAAAAGTTTAAACTTTAAAACGTGGCAGAAAATAGAGCGCCAACATACCTTTAATCGTGCTAGAAATCCGCCATCTTTAAGAAAATATCCAAAATAATGCATTGCGGTCGCAGTGCGCACACCGCCTGGTGAACTATATACATGGAAGGCTGACTTCAGTCATTGACGTAATCAAAAAGTGAAGCCAAAGATGGCGGATTTTGAAGCCATTCTTGCGCGTCATTCTCAGTCCCCTACCCGCGCGGCCAAACATTTTTTTGTATTTTCATGGCGGCATATGATGGCGGGAAGTGATGGGTCCGCGATTCTCGGGTTGTGTTTTTCTTCATTTTAAAAGAGCAAAAAAGGAAATAAACTTCATTTATTTCATGTAAACCTGATTTCCTTCATCTACTCGATCTGTCTACTGCATTTTCCCACTGTATGTGTGAGTAAATCTGTATTTTTCGTTGCGAATTCAACAACTAATTTCAAACTTTTTTGTTTTTTTGACATAAAATCTGTATTTTTATAAATTGGCAATTTATTTTTGCTTTGGTTGTTTCGTTTTCTTGTTTCTATGGTGCTTTTCAGTTTTCACACCATTATTTAGCTTATTTTAGTCAGTTTTCCTGACCTAAAACTGCTTTTTAACTGCAGTTTTCGAGGCAGTTTTTAGCCAATTTAATTCCATACATGTTAGAAAATTTTGTTTTTTTATTTTCTATTTAATAAAATCACTTTGATGTTTGCCTTATAAACTTAAACTGTTCATTTTAATGAGTTATTTATGTGTGTGAAACTCTTGTCGATACGGGCAATAGAGATGTTTTGAAAGATTGAGTGACTTTGTGTTTTGTTTTGTCACTCCTTGTCATTTTACAAAAACAGCAATCCCGCGCTATTTTGCTTTCTTTCCACTCAAATATCACATCTCCTAAACAAATAATAATTAAAATTTATAACCGAACCCAAACAAAATACCAGAATTCAACTTTTCATTCAAATTTCGTCTGTTTTTCACCAGATTTTTACTCGGAAAGTAAAGAAAAATATAAAAGTTTTGTTGACCGCGCACGTAAGGGGACTGAGAATGACGCGCAAGAATGCCTTCAAATTCCGCCATGTTGGCTTCACTTTTTGAGCTCGAGTCAGACTTCCATGTTATATAGTTCAGTGCACTTGAATGACTGGCGGAAAGATAGGAGCAGCTCCTCCAGTAATATTATAGCTCAGTGGGGATAATCCATCTCAGACATGGATTTTACTACATCCCGGGCGTTCTTTGTCAGTGCCCGCGATCACAATTAGAATTATCAGCGGTTGAGTTCGCAACTCAATATTCAAACATTTTCAACCAGATAAAAACAGATTATTAAAACTTTTTTAAAGCACTTTAGATTTTATACCGATCCCAAACACTAACCGGCCTAACTTTTAAGAGTTAAAAAAGGAAGGAAGAAAAAAGAAATCACAAAAAACTGAGAAAAAGAGCTAAATCAGATGATAAACGTTCGGCATCGATCCCGACCCTGACTGCGTTTCACTTTTAGCACGCAGCGCCTTTACCGCTTGAGCTAACGACAAACTTGGTGAAAGTTACAGCAAACAAAAGTTTTTATATTGCTACAAAATACGAAATAACTCCCGTCTGTCTAGTCACTTGGTTATTTTTTATTTGAGCTGCTATAAATGTTACTAGCTCATATAAGATCTGTTCATTAGTGGTAAAACATAAACAGTATGTAAGTTTTGTCAAAAAATAAAAAGGCAATATGTCTGGATCAAATAAACTGTCTAGAAGCAAACTGATATCTTGAAATATAGATTAACATGCTGACAAACTGTTACAGTTTAACCAAGTTATAAATTCACATCGAGTATTATATAATTTATATTTGGCTTTTAAGATGTTTTCTTTCAAACATTATGATTTCAGGAAACACTCAATGTTATCATCATGTACCGCTGATAATACTAGTTGTGATCGCGGGCACTGACAAAGAACGCCCGGGATGTAGTAAAATCCCTCAGACATACAGAAAACTGTATGTCGACCGAACTGCGCATGCGTTGCCAAAAGCAAAACAAATTGTTTGAAATATTTTATTGTTTCGTCTATAAAATGATTATTTTTTCGGGGTTTTGGTGGAAATGTTGATGTTCTTCATAGTGGGATACAAAAGGTGTGTTAGTGACTGAATAAGGAAAATATTGCGTGTGAAACAGGGTCAGTATAGAGCCGGCAGGAGCCGCGAAGAGTGCTGTTGTCGAAGAAAAATGTCACAATTAATTGTAATCTTGTCCATTCCGGCCACTGTGTCAGTTTGAAAAAACTTTAAATGTAGAGACATTTGTGGTTTCTCCAGCATAATTTAGCCGTTTAACGCTATTATGTTTCTAATGGTTGAAAGAGCGCGTGGAAAGGGCAATTTTCAAGAACAAAAACAATTACAATGTACTGTGTGTTAATTGGCAATAATTGCTACTGTAGTATTATAAAAATACCTGAAAAGAATCTCAATTCTTAGATTAAGTCGGTTATAAACCTTGATAATATTAAAGTTTTCAGAAGATTTGTATATCAGAGGAATATTAAAAGGAATTTAGACTTATAAAACATATCATTAAAAATATGAATATATAGTGATTCCTGATGTTTGTATTGTGTTATCATCTCTAGAAATTAACAGTTTATAAACCAAATCCTTGTTATATTTTTTAACTGCCCTTATAGCTTTGCTTATATGTTTTAATATTTGCAAGCAGTTTAGTAGCTTAGGGACGCAACAGCACTTTTCAAATTATTGAATTGTAACCAAATTTTGTGTCTGCATGGATAGGAATTACTATTAAAGATTCTCAGTTTGTAATGATAGAGTTGGAGCAAGTTAAGCTGCAATGTGCCTCAGTTTGCCCTACTTTGTTATTTTAAGCTGTTTAACGCCAGAATTTTTTCTCGTCAAGGGGAAAGTATTGGACTTGGTATTTGAATGGGTTAACCAGTCCATCTGCATGTCTACCTATCTTTGGTTAATTATCTCATTAGATCATTAAGCCACAATGCTCTTAGTGCACCTTTTTTATTATTTCACTGTACTTCTGGACAATGTTTCTCACCAATGGCCAGAAATGTACTTGACTTCATGTTAATTACTGCCATTAATTAATTAACTAGTCTCTACTGTACTAAATAGGACATTCAAGGTTGGAGATGTAATAGCAATAGAGGTTGCTATCATTGTAGCATTCAGGGGCGTCGCTAGCCCAAATTGTCAGGCATTTGGCAATTTATTGTATCGGCAATCAGGAAATTGTTTTTGTGGCCAGCATGATTTGAATTGGATAGGAATGGAAAAAACTGAGTTTTTGTTGCCCCTTCTCAGAGTAGGTATGTGTTGTTTTATAGTGTAAATAACAACTTTGGTATTGCAATCAAACTGACAGGGTAGTTGTCATGACGATGGTAATAAAAATATTTCTATGGCTTGGCATTTACATTGGGCAATTTTTTATCATTCATCACAAAATTATACCCGCACCCTAGGTGGTTCCCTGCAGGGGGTCATAGCCAGGGGGAAGCTGATGAAAATGAATTCTGGTATTGGTGGCTGATCACTATCATTTAATATTTTTGTGAAATTATAGAACATTTCTTTAAAAAAGTATATGAATTTATTAAAAATGTTTATATGGTTTCCCAATCTGGAATTCATACTTTGTTACATTTGGATCAAAAGGTTTATGACATTTTCTTGGACAGAATCCAATTAATACAACCTCGTACAGAGCTTCTTTGAATTACTATGTGGACAAGATTAATAAAGGGATTGCCTTGGCATATTGTACTACTCAATAAATTAAAATCGTTAAATACTTTCTGCTACAATTAGCTGTAATATTATACTGTATATTATTGTGTTTCATATGATGTCATAAATTTGACGGGGGGTCAACTCTAAATCGAGACACAATTAATACAACCTCGTACAGAGGGCAGGGCTTTTTTGAATTACCGTGTGGACAAGATTAATGAAGGGATTGCCAATTTGGCATATTGTACTACTCAATAAATTCACTGTAAATCATTAAATACTTTCTGCTACGATTAGCTGTAATATTATACTGTATATTATTGTGTTTCATATGACGTCATAAATTTGACGGGGGGTCAACTCTAAATCGAGACACAGTCATCAGAGTGAATTAATTTTTCACTGTATGTGTTGGCCTTGTGTTTGGTGGCGAATACATGCAATTTCATATCATTTGCTCACTCCAGTACAGCATAAGCGTCAATACATTTTAGGTTGACCCCATGTCAGAACGTGCAAAATGCCATAGTGAAACCCCAGAATTCATTATATGTATTAGGTGTATGTAGACTGGAATACAAGTTAATATCACTGCCTGCGAAATTGTAGTTTATTTAGAGAATAAAGGTTTTTTGAACACTTCTATAAATAAATTATAACAGCAAAAGATTCATATGCACGTACCCATATAGGGAAAGGTTACATGCTACAAGTTAAAATGAGTATTACATACTCCTGCACTTGAAAAGTTTACAGTACAGTATATACATTAAATAATAAAATATATAACAGTAAATCCCAAGATTGGATTTTATATTGAAACTAGTCATTAGCTAGTTCTTCGCAATATTTAAATAACACAAAGACAAATTAATAAAAGTTATTAACCGTTTCTGACACAAATAGTATTTGCAAAATGTAGCACATATTTGATATTATAGTCAAATAGTACAGTGTACTGACAGTATTGTATACTATGTATAGATTAAAGCTACAGAAAACCTGTACAACACAAATATGAGTAAAGTTTTCACGCTCCATTTAACTGTCGTGATATTATACGCATTAAGTATACGTTTCTTTGCATTTCCTTTGTAGTATTAGTATATAGCACAGCTCTGAAACACCAAAACAATATTCGTACACTCCTAAACGGCCGCCATGTTGTATGTAAAAATATACGGTTAAAAATTAATTTTTGCAAAATTGCAACATTCCATTGTATACCAGCAACCAATCATATTCATTTCTGAGATGGATTATCCCAGAGCCTTCGTTTCCTTCCCAAGGATCGCAGGCTCGGGGAACGAGATTGATAGTAAATCCGTCTTGGAGCTCATGTTGGAGTATCAGGCTCTATTTTACAAATAGAGCCTGACACAAAACTTAACCTGATCGCTTTCCGCCCACAGCAAAGTTTATATTTAGTATCCAATCAAAATGTCGCAGGGGAAATTTAAATTTCACACAACGACAACAACAATCTAATTATAGCATAGGCGCCCACTAAACGGCTGAATTTAAATTAAAACTGCAATGAACTTATAAAATTAACAAAAATAATCACAAATTAGCGAAATATATTGCAAATGTAGCTTATATTAAATCGCCACCCGATTGCTCTCTCCTCCGCAGAGGTTTCAGTGACTACAATGAGCTTTACATGGCGCTTGCCGTATTTATCAACAAACAGTGACGTATAATTATAAAGTATATATATATATATATATATTAAGTATACTTTATAACTATACGTCAGTCGATAGTGCAATCTGATGGCGATTTAATATAAGCTACATTTGCAATATATTTCGCTAATTTCCGATTATTTTCTAACTTTACTGCAGTTTTAATTTAAATTCAGCCGTTTAGTGGGCCGGCTATAATTGTAGTTGTGATCGTTATAAAATATATCAACAACAATAGTATAATAAAAAGATGAGACGTTCTCTGGTTAATATATTTATTAATCACAAGCTTTCGGCTACCAGTCTGTAGCCTTCGACGGGTGTATATACAATATGATACAAGGACGCTAAAACTATATAATATACATGTAAATTGAAACTAAACGTGACGTATGTGTAGCCTATGTGCAATCTGAAATATGATAGGTGATATTACAATTTTCTTATTAAGGCTGTGTATTGTCGAGGAAGTAGCTTAGAGTTGTTATCAGCATTTTTGTCTTTGGCTGTATGCCATGATTCTAAAGTTAGACGGTTCCGAAATTTCCCTTTGTCTATGACTTTCGAGTTATCAAAATCAATTACATGATCACAGTCCCATGCATGCTTAGCAATGTTTGATCCATCTTTATTTTGTTTTACGTTTCTGACGTGTTCAGATTTTCTTGTCTTTAGGGATCTGCCTGTTTCACCTATATAATTCCAAGGGCAATCTTTACATGGTATTTTGTAGATGACGTTAGTTTGTTCTTCGGTTGGAGGTCTGTGTTTTACTGAGGGGAATTCTCGTTGTAGGGTTCTCAAAGGTTTATTATGGACTTTTATGTTATGTTTTCTTAGTGTTCTTGATAGAGGTTCTGTTACTCCTTTGATGTATGGTAAAGTAGCATGTCCATTGTAAGTTTCCGAGGGATCAACCTGTTCAAAGAATGTTCTTACTAATTCTTCCGGACTTGGCGTAGCTTTGTCAGTTTGGGATTTGATCACCTTAGAGATGAGCGGTTTCGGGTATCCATTTGAAGCGAGGGTTTCGCTTATATGTTTTAACTCTTTATATTTGCTGTCTTCGGTGGTGGGAAGGTTAAGGGATCTGTTGATGAGAGTGGTGGCAGTGCTGATTTTGTGTTTCAGATCGTGATGTGAAGAGAAATCAAGGTAGCGGTCTGTATGCGTGGGTTTGCGGAAAACATTAAAAGAGATAGAGTTATTGTGTCTAGAAACTAACGTGTCGAGGAATGCAATTTGTCCGTCTTTTTCATGCTCTATAGTGAATTTTATGTGAGGGTCAATAGAATTGAGCGTGTTATGAAAGCTAGTGACTGCGTTCTTATTTATAATGGCAAAACTGTCGTCAACAAATCGTTTCCAAGTCTTAGGTGGTGTTATAGCAGATTGAATTGCTTGCTCTTCAATCACTTCCATGCATAAATTTGCAACGATAGCACTGACAGGACTGCCCATGGCACATCCATGAATTTGCTTGTATATTACGTCGTTGTAAATAAAGTAACTGTTAGATAAAACAAATTCCAAGAGTCGTAAGATATCGTCAATGTCTAGTTGCGTTCTGTCAGATAATGTATTGTCATTTATAAGTTTAGTTCTGATATATGTGCATGCTTTGTCAACTGGAATAGCGGTGAAGAGAGATACAACATCAAACGACACCATAGTCTCATCTTCTGAAATAGTAATCGTAGATATTTCGTTCCTAAATTGCGTGGAGTTAGTTACTGAGAAACCATTCTGGTTTTGCAAAGGAGAAAGAATTTGAGAAAGGAATTTAGAAGTGTTGTATAATGCAGAATCTATAGAAGTGACAATAGGTCTGAGTGGATGGTTAACTTTGTGGTGTTTGATGGAACCTCTGATTGCTGGTGGAATTGCATCGCTTGAGTGTAACTTACGATAGGTTCTTTCAGGGAGTTTTTCTTGATTCTTTAAATCAAGAAACATGGCATTTAACTTTCGCTCGACTTTCTTGAAAGGTGGTTTGCGTACAACAGTATAGGTGGACTTATCTTGTAAAAGGTTTTCCATTTTCGAATCGTAATCGCTTCGATCCAAGATGACTAAACTGTTCCCCTTGTCTGCTTTCATAACGATTCTAGTGGCATCTTTCTTTAGGTTCCTTAGAGCCTGACTTTCTTGATTGTTGATATTCTTATGTTGTGGGAGACGTGCTCGATCTAGGATGTTGGCTGTGTTAGTGCGAATAATATCTTTCGTTTCATCAGGGAGCTCGCGTATCGCAGCTTCGACTTCGGAGATGATATTCTTATAGGGGATACTAGCCGGGGTGATTGCGAACTTCGGGCCTTTTTCAAGTAATGAGCGTTCGGCGTTTGTAAGAGGCTTTTTCGACAGATTAATCACCCAGTTGGAACGATCAATGTTCGTATCTTCGTTGTAATCTTTTTTCATATTGTCAAATTTCTTCTTGTGTCTTATGTTGATGGCATCTCGGACGCTTGAAGTACGTTGTTTCAGGAATACATTTAACGAATTAAATGTC